CCGCACGCCGCTTCCTATATTCTCTTCGCTCTTGTCTAATCTCTCTATTAATTTCTAAACATTTTAATAACGTGAACGTTTACAAATCATATTACAAAGGACACGAAGGGTCAGCATCAGGAGGGATCAAACCTGGGGTCTATGATAAGGACGGTATCTTTAGATCTTTAGACATTCATTAGACACACACAACCCCCACTCCATGCACCTGTTCAAACAGGTGTCATGCAAACCCAGGTGGGTGGAGGCAAAATAACATAGCCCAGTGTGGACACGGACATGTCGGATCTGTTCTAAACAGCTTTCCTCGGCCTCTTGCCCTGGACAATGGTCACCTGGTTGGATGAGAAGATGGCAACTGGATGTGTTACTCTCCTCCGTAAGGGAGGCCTCTCTGGTGGCCTCACTGCCGTCCCCAAAGTCACGTGGTTCGAATGCACCACGTGCTGTGCTGGAGACGGACGGGCCCTGTCCTCCTGGGCGATGACTGGCCTTTGCAAACCCACGCCATGGTCAGCGATGGGTCACTTCAACAACAAGAACAAGTCATCAATGAGGTGGACGGACAGAGTCATGTTATCAATGGACTCAAGTCAGTCCAAGGAGGAAGAGGAAGGGGAGGTCCCAGGAGAGGACAGGGGTCAGAGCCACTGTCCACAAGGTCACTGGGAGTCCTGGACAACACCAAAGCAACAAATAACTATTTATAAGAAAATGGATCTGTTGGGTCATCCCAGCAGAGGTTCTTGTGTCCACCTCCTTCTCTGATGGTGATGGTTATGGGACATTGATTTGATTGCAACTCCTACAACTCCATGGACACAAGCTCTGGACGCTGAGGTCAGGTCACAGTCTCCAACACGTCACGCAAGTCTCTAAGTCACGCAACAAAAAACTGAGGCCTTTTTGCACCAACCTGCTGGAGAAAAGTCTTGACCAGACCTCGGACCGCCAGGAAAACCAAGAGGTCTGTCTTGGAGAGAGTCGTGGATCGTCCAACATCAGGTAACGTGAAGGCGGCAGGGAAACTTGATGAACAAAAACGAGACGACCAGAATGCAAAAAGAACCAAACACAGGCACGCATGGCCAGGATGGCAAAATGGACACAGAAGAATTTGGGTCAAAATTGGAGTTGGGGGTGTTGTTAGGTGGCATGGAGATGGCTGCAGACAGACTGACAGACACACACACAATGTGCATGGACCCTGCCTCCAATACATCCCCACATCCAGTCTCCACCATAGCGGGGGACCCACGTGGAATTGCCTTGAAGAATGGGCCTGTCCATCTCAGGACACGTGGACCCCGTCCATCTCAGGACACACTGACCCCATCCATCTCAGGACACGTGGACCCCGTCCATCTCAGGACACACTGACCCTGTCCTCAGGACACGCAGACCCTGTCCACCTCAGGACACAGACCCCATGCACCTCAGGACATGTAGACACTGTAGATTTCAGGACACACAGACCCTGTCCATCTCAGGACACATGGACCCCGTCCATCCCAGGACACAGAGACCATGTCCATCTCAGGACACACAGACCCCATCCATCTCAGGACACACAGACCCCATGCAACTCAGGACACACAGACACCATCGATTTCAGGACATACAGACCCCATCCATCTCAGGACACACAGACCCCATGCACCTGAGGACACGCAGACACCGTCCATCTCAGGACATGCAGACCGTACCCTTCTTAGGACATACAGACCCCGTCCACCTCAGGACACACAGACCCCATGCAGCTCAGGAGACGCAGACATCGTCTATCTCAGGACACACAGAACCCATCCCTGCCAGGACACACAGACCGTGTCGCCATCAGGACACGCAGACCTCGTCCTTCTCAGGACACACAGCTCTGTCCTCCCCCTCCAGAGGACACACAGATGCCCAGCCGCCCAAGTCCTACCTACCCACACGGCCACTCCCCTGTGTCCCCGGAGGCGGTGACACTATTTTAGGCCGAGTTGAGTCAGCGGGCATCCCCTGGGGAAGCTGAGCACCCTGGCAGGCCTCGCGTGAGGGGGCCCCACGCCTGGCCCCACGCCCGGCCCCACACGTCTCTCCTGCCGCATGGCCCCACACACGTCACCTGTCCCCACCCACCTGCCAAGATGCAAAAACACAATGGCTGGCACCTCTCCACGGTTCCTCCACCAACCTCTCATTGTTCGCACACCTCTCTGCCCACTGGCTGGGGCCCTCCTGCGTCCTGCTCCCCTGAAACTGGGGGGTCCCTGCTTGGCTGGGCCTCAAAAGTGGGGGTCCCAGCTATAACATGCCTCCCAATGTGTGATGACAGATGTACCCAGAGCAGTGCCTTACACACACACACGTGTCCTGGCCAAGGACCCAGCCTGGAAAGGGCCTGATGGACCATGTCCCAGGGTCACTCCAATCCTGGCTTCACCCTGGTGTCTCCCACCCAGCAAAAGGACCACTTGGTACCTGTCCAGTCCCCATATTCACAGCCACGCTCTTGGGACACGACCCATCTGCCCCGGGGAACATTTCGAAAGACACTTGTGCAGGTTTTCAGAAACTGTAAATATTTACAAAGAAGACCCTTCCTTCCACCTCTCTGCTCCGGGGCTGTGGAATCCCACAGACTGCGGCCTTCTGGGGCGGACATCCGGCCGCTGACCCATCGGGTCAGAGGTTCAAACTCACTTTCCGCAAGCGTGCACAGGACAGAGTACCCCACAAGGCTGTGTCCAGTGTCTTCACTTGGAAATGACCAGGGGTTGATGCTTTGACTGGTTCTTTGTCCAGCAAAAAAATAAAAAATAAATCAATGGTCATGTCAAGTGTCCAAAGCAGAAATGCAAGTGACCACCACTGTCCAGCTGAGTGGGTCGTGGGCTCCCCAAGCTTGTCAGTTAAGATGGGTGGGTGGGTGAGGATATAATTCAACACGTGCTGTCCAACCCTTCCGCTCCCTGGACCCCTCCAGAGGCCAGCCCTGTAGCGCTGACCTCCCTGACCTGAGCCCTGACCTTCCTGGTCGCAGGGGTGGAGTGAATGGTCATCACTGCCCAGGGCGCAGGGCGAGCCCGGCACACATTCATTGAGTCCCACACACAAGGGAACGTGACCATGACTCAGGGGGGTGGACACAGAAAGGGCCCAAGAACCCCTGCGGTCATCACCAGCAGGTCTGACCTCCCCAAGTCCTGCCTGCTGTCCATTGCCACCACCAACAGGGTAGGTGGACAGGGCTCTCCCCTGAGAACAGAGACACACACACACCCCCAATGCCTGGAATAGGACCACCTGGGCCAGTAAGAACCAGCTGGGGCTGGTCTTGGGGGGGCTGTGTTCACAGGGGAGTGAGATGGGTGTCCTTAAACACAAGACCCTTTTTCCCCAAATGACCACAACATGGTTCAAAACGTCCTGAGTCACACAGCTTGGCTAAGAGGTCACCATGGAGAGAGACAGAGAGACGGGGGACACCCATTACCACTTGGGAGCCCCAGTTTGGGGTTTTTTTGGGGGGTAACCCACGCTGAGACGTGTAGGGAAAGTCCTGACCTGCCCAAGACGCATGAGGGAACTTGAAAGTGACTCTGTAAGCGGCCCATTTTGCACAGAGCCTGGTTTGCGCGCCCATTATCCGAGAAGGATGCCAAGTTTGAAACAGACTGGAAACAGGACAAGTGCGTTAGGAACCATGCGCACCTTTTAAACTCAAGGGCCCTTTGGTTCTCATGGGAGATGCAAATTCCAACCAAGTGGGAGGGTGGGTGCGGTGTGGCCACTTGGCCTCTGTGTGTCGGGGTTCACCTCCTGGGAGGGTCGATCTGCCAGGCCAGCAGGGAAGTTTGAAGTCAGAGGGGTTCCTTAAAGGGGAGTGTGTGTATGCAAATGTTTAAGAATCGAGGGATCCAAGCGCCAACAGTTTGGAGAGGGCTCGCTGGAGGGGCGCGCACTTGGATATGGGTGTGTGTGTGTGTCATGGTAACGCGTGAACCCCTCCTGAGCCTTTGGCCTTGGCCCCCTGGGTCCCTTTGTGGCCAGAGAGGAGAGGCCGGTGCCCCGCTTTACTCACCGACGGTGGTTAGTGTGTCCAAGTCCTGCAGCCGGCAGGATGGTGCCTCGGGGCGCGCGGTGCCTTCGGGGGTCCCCCTCGCACCGGTCTCGTCGCGGCCTCCAGGGCCAGTGTCCACCTTGGCCGGCCCTGGCGCCTCCATGGGGTCCGGGCTCCCCAGGACGCATCAGCGGCGCCCCGCGCGCCCGGAGTGGACAAAAGGCGCTGGGTCACTGCAGCAG